GCTCATTTTGCTTCCGAGAAACATGCAAAACGGGACGGAAAACATGAAATTTTGCAATAATCTTGCGCCACCCTTGCACAAAACGACGATCATTTCTCGAATTTCATAGCCCCGCCCTGACTTTAAAGCTGGATCCGCCCCTGTGTGACATGGACCGTCACCTGTCAATAGATTCTCCTTTGATTCGCTTTCTTTGCAGAATCATCCACGAGAGTGGGTTTACACCGGAGGACTTCAAGCAGTACCGACCAGTGGTGTACAGCAACACCATCCAGTCGTTGGTGGCGATTTTACGAGCGATGCCAAATCTCGGAATACAGTATGGAAATAATGAGCGGGAAGCTAATGTAGGTGTTTTAAATTCTACTAAAAACCTCGAGTTTGCTTTTAAAACCCCGAAAATTGAGAAATGTATTTGAAAATTGTATTGTAAAAAATATCGTCACTAATGTACTGTCAATGTCACTGTCATTCGGTAGCTCGATGGCAAAATGGTGTTCGACGTTATCCAAAGAATGGAGGACACGGAACCGTTTTCGGAGGAGCTGTTGGCGGCCATGAAGCGGCTGTGGGCAGACTCAGGAGTGCAGGAGTGCTTCGGCCGCTCCAACGAGTACCAACTCAATGATTCTGCCAAATAGTAAGTGGCGACCGTGGCGCACCCTCTCAAAACTCAACCGCATTAATTTGGATTGCAGTTTCCTAGACGACCTAGACCGATTAGGAGCCAAAGACTACCAGCCCACCGAACAAGACATCCTGCGGACGAGGGTGAAAACCACCGGAATCGTCGAAGTACATTTCTCGTTTAAAAACCTCAATTTCAAGTGAGTTTCTTCGTGCCTTTTTCTATCAGTTCCCAGAATAGCGTCAAGTCAAAGTTCAACGTTCAGACTGGGAATGCAACAGGTTCAGACGTTGCACCTGCCCGGTCGATGGCTTTTGGCAATGGGCCCCATTTTATTATTTCTAGTTCAGTTTGAGCGGACTTCTTCAATATTGTGGAACGGAGGGGACCCCGCCTACGCCCGTGGAATTTTTGCGCTTTCCCGAAAATCCATAACGCGTGTTTTTTTTTAGATTATTCGACGTAGGCGGCCAAAGGTCAGAGCGGAAAAAGTGGATTCACTGTTTCGAGGACGTGACCGCGATTATTTTTTGCGTGGCCATGAGCGAATACGACCAAGTGCTGCACGAGGATGAGACGACGGTGAGTGCCCTCTGTTATTAAACTGTCGGAACAGCAATTCTGATGGTGTCTCTGCACAGAACCGGATGCAAGAGAGCCTGAAGCTGTTCGACTCAATTTGCAACAACAAATGGTTTACGGACACCTCCATTATCCTTTTCCTGAACAAGAAGGACTTGTTCGAGGAGAAAATTAGGAAATCACCGCTCACGATATGTTTCCCCGAATACACCGGTAAGTGCCTAGGGGCCATAGCAGAGATTAGTAGAGAGATCGCCGATGAGCGAGTAAGCTAGCGTCATCATGCGGTTTTCCCCCGAAACAAACACACAAGTTAGAAGTAGTGTAGGGGAGGTAAGTAGTGGGGCCATGCGCCTAAGCAGCAAACGCCAGCCGATTTGCGCTGGTTTCTGACGGTCGATAAGTATGTAAGTATCAGATATAAACTGATCATCAAACTGACATCGCGAGCAACGCTGTGGGTTTGGAGCTGAATGCTCCGATATAC